ACATGGTTAGTCATCTAGTCTAACCATTCTATCAAAAGACTAGATAACACATTCTTAATTCATTTGAAAAATTTAACGCAGATGTTTTCCCGTCACTAATATAACGATGAATTTGCTATTGTTTTCATCTTGGCGAATTTTGCTTTCAAGACTACGTTATTTTGTCACCAATTAAACGTTTATTACCACGGACTAGTAATGTCTTTTCATTTATCTTTATATTACAATGGATATGGGTAACGAGATATTTGCTATTTCGTCACAAATGCATCGGTTTTTATCGCGATGGAGCCTAATATTATATCGCCATTTTAGGGGAAGACGAAGGATATCTAGCTGTGGTTCATGTCGCGTGATTTTTTTTAGTGAAAAAAGTTGCTATGAGTCGTAGAGAGACCACGGTGGCCCTAGGACCAATTGCGGCCTAGAGTTGGAGGCTGTTACGGTCCTCGAATTAACGAGCTTTCTTGTTTGGTTTTTTAAGACGCTCAAGATTTGGATAAGCTCGTAGGTTTCAATATCTATGTTCGTTCGCACGCGCATGCAAATTTGATAGTAATCTTGCGAGGCCACTACTGAAAAATTATTTTAAATCTTTTATATCTGTCGCGATTTCTTTATTATATATTGAACACAAAAGTTAAGAGAAAGCAAGTAATATTTATGAAATGAAAAAACAAATGTTGCCAAATGTCTTAACAGATAAATAGATTGAAGATCTTTTTCGGGTGGATCAGGTCTTAGATCACATCCAATTTAAAATGATACAAAAAGTAGAGGTTTAAGTCTATCGATTTCCAAATTCTATTATATTTTAACGTATATAATAAATTATTGATAAATGTAATTTACTTTATAGGAATATATAACGATAAAACAACATGCAAGGGAATATGCTCTTTTTGTTAGGCAGAAGAGTCTCTTGCTTCTGTCAGAATCTTCCTTTCATTTTTAGGTAGATTTAAAGTATTAAAAACTAAACATAATAATATTTACTATGATCATCAGTAGTAAACCTTTTCCACGTTTTAAAAATTTATATTGTAATC